TGATGCAGCAAGAGAAGCTGTGAGTTGAATTTCTTTGGTCAACTGACGCCACTTCCTGCAATCTGGGTTTGTGCACTGAATCTGAAACAAAAAAATAGCAACAATGTGTATCATGCCATTAAAGATCAATATCAAATCGACTTTGCTATGTGAAGTGAAATGTGATGTTTCTAGTGAAAGGGTCGCAAATGGTCTATAAGTGAAAAATTACATAGTGCACCTTTAAATTAGATAACATGAATGAACTAACCCAGTACGGGAGTTGCTGGTCAGCCATGAAAGCTTTGAGACTGGGTTCACTTTTGCCATTACTGGTCCAGACCTTTTTCCAAGCAGAAAACGTCTCATAGCCATCTTTGTGACTGAATGAATACAACATTATTAGTTTCATTTACTTGACCTTTATTTAAAGGTTGTATAGAGGATTTTCCAAGGAACGAGAAATCCAGCGACTGTTTGTCCTTTTTCAAATGTTGCGCATGCGTGAAACCACCCCCCCTCCCCTACAGCTCCCTACGTAGAAACGCCTCCTCCCGCCTCCTCCTTACGCCAGAAACAGGTTTGTTTACAGCCGGTGCACTGCACATGACTTGTAAACAACTAACTACAGTGTTGGTTAGGCAAGGCGGAGAAGTGAGGAGCGGGGGGAGCGGATGCGCGGACATTTCGTGCGCGGACGAGAAGTGAGGAGTAGGGAGAGGAGAGGAGAGAGGAGAGGGGAGCGGTGCACGGAGATTCCGTGCCCGGAGAAGTGAGGAGCAGGGGGAAGAGCGGATCGGGCAGCGGGGAGAGGAGCAGGAAAGGGGTGCAGAGAAGGTTGCGCGGAGATTCAGTGCGAATGAACTAGCTACAACACGCAGCAGCAAGCAGACTCTTTCTTTGCCTTGAAAATTACGTTTTCAGACATAGGATATCGCTTTCGTGTCCTGAAAAACGTTTGACTAGCTCTTGGAAATAAAGTACGTTTTCATAATAAGCAGAAGTGACCTGTCCAGGAGTAATTTGGCAACCAGTGCGTCAGTCTTTAGCAGTGTTGGGAGTAATGTATTATAAAAGTAATGTATTACAGTAATGCGTTGATTTTTGCTGTAACGCAGTAATGTAAGGCATTACAGGGGGAAAAATGTTTATATTTTACTCGGTACAAATGTGAGTAACGCGCGTTACAATGCTTTTTTAACCTGGATTGAAGTGGTGGGTTTTTCTTCATAGAAATTCGCTAAAATCACCGTGAAATCAGCAGCGGTGAAACGCCGGAGACGCGGCCGGATAGACCTTCAGTTAACCGCGGGTGAAAGGACCAACCCAGAACTCTACGCTGTTTAGACCTGGTTTAGACCTGGGTCACTTCTGGTTTAGACCTGGCTTACAGTCGTCCCTCGCTCTAACACGGTTCACTTTTCGCGGTCTCGCTGTTTCGCTGTTTTTTAGAATTTTTTTTTGTGCAATTTTGCATGCCTTTTGTTTTTAGTGTATGAACACGTATTGCGTTCCTCCCGCTGTGTCCTGATCGGCTAAGGGACTCCTGTCTCCTGTACAGTACAGTACAGAATGTGTTCAGCTGCCAAATTTAAATACATGTTCAATCTCTAGCAGTGTGCTTCTGAAGTGCTGTATGTCTGCAAGTTTTCTCTCCGACAAAATCCACGTCGACGAAATGTTCTGCACCGACAAAGTCTCCTGCGCTCACACCCAAAAGACAGAGGACGATGCAAACCATCGCACAAAAAGTTGGACTTCTGGACACGTTGAAGGAAGGTAGAAGTTACGCGCTGTAGCAGAGTTTTGCACCGGGTCTTGTACCCGCAAATAGTTGCTGAAATCAGGACCGTGAGCCTGAGCAGCAGGGTCCATAAAGCGCGATCGGGCGACACCCGCTCTTACCTCCGTGAGGTGCGGAGCAAAGCCGGTCCTTTCTCCTGCGGTCACCTTCGAGCCCATCCTGACAGTGAGTCCTGTTTTAGTCCTAGTTCAGTTCTGGTTTAGTCCTCCTCTTCAGTCCAGGAATCAGTCTGAGGTTAGTCCTGTTATAGTCCTGGTTTAGTCCTGGTTCAGCTCTGGTTTAGTCCTGGTTTAGACCTTGTTTAGTCCTGGTTCAGTCCATATACGGCTGAAAAGTTCAGCTTTTTCGCAGTTATTTTGGTGAGAGTAACTTAAAGTAATGCAATAGTAATGTAATGCCTTACATTTTAAATGCAGTAATATTGTAATGTAACGAATTACTTTGAAATGACAGTAATAAGTAATAAATAACGCATTACAGTTTTAAAGTAACTTGCCCAACAGTGGTCTTTAGACCCTGCGTCTGCTTCAGTTGCGCCATCGCTGGAACGAATCTTCAAGAATCACCTTAGTTTGGCTTCGCTGCTTTTCCCCTTGTCTTCTTCTTTCAGCAATCTCAAAAACGGACTTTCTTTTGCGGCTAACTGCTCCTGGATTCTTGTCTGCCATTGCAACAAACTTTGTGCTAACTGTGAGGAAGATATAGGTCAAAAAAAGCCGCTAAGAACTGTGGAGTAAACAGCGTCTGTGCGGCTTGCGTCTGTGGACTGCGTGACAGGCGTACGTAAACCACGTACCGGCGGCGCGCAGGCAAGTCAGTTAAGCTAGAAACGTAGGGAGATTGATTGACAGCCTGTCAGCTAACAGATAACGAGGCAGTGTCGTTATCTATTGGCAAATGTTTAGCTGGCCCCACCACGTCCAGAGTTGATGAATTTTTATTCTCTTTTTTTTGGTCATCATAATTACAAGGCTACTGCATCTCTATAATGCTATCATTGACAATTTGAAACAAAAAAAAATCCTCCATACAACCTTTAACTAGATAAAAAAAAATTCAGAATACAGAGAAACTTGCCTTCTATAGTAGTGATCAAAACACTCATTGCAAAAATGTTCCCCACAGGACAAATGATACCAGCGAGACGTGTATCCATTTTTAGCACACCTAGAATAATAATACAAATAATCTTTTATATTTTTCAAATTATTATTTCAATAGTTATATATTTTATTTTATAACAGCTGAGGGGTACCTTTCAGAAGCACTTGCGAAACAAACTGGATACGTAGCTGAGCACCCGGACTTCTCACACCTTCTGTACTTCTTCTCTGACTGGTCTTCTTCCTCTTCTGTGTCTGTGGCCTTTCTTTTGATCTAAAAACAAAAATCCCTAAATTTAACTAAATATTTACAGTATGTTCTGTACACATGTCAGACAAACAAAGTGAAAGCTGTAAAAACTGTAGATTCCCAAATAAATAAATCTTGTATTTCAGTGAATTTGTAAATGACAAAGATGCTACAATACTGCTAACACGCTATCAGAAAGTTCAACTTTTTAAATGGTGGTCATTCCAGAGTATCATTAATATTACTAATTAGGGTTCTTTTATTCTTAAAAGAATTATTGTTACTGCGATCAAGCTTGCTTCTCCATAAATCTGACCTGTGACTGTTCCAGGCAAAGCAATAACATTTGTATAAAGGCATGAGGAGGACTCTCCACCAGAAAGATTATATAGCTCACCTTTGATTATAGGGGACTTTACACCACAGGCAAAAAAACATGATTCCAACAAGAATCGCCTATGTCACCTTTATATTAAGAAAATTCATTTAGTCTTCTATAGAAACTTTGTGTTTTCTTCTAATAAAACAAGCATTGTTAAAAGCTAAATAGCTTATTTACCTTAGGTTACTTTAGCTTACCTTAGCTTATTTACCTTAGATAAAGAAACATTGTGTTCTCTTCTAGTAAGTTTAACCTGTGTCACCATTGTGTCAGCAGACATATAAATAGATAGATATTTTATTGTCATTGTGGATTGAATACCTGTCCTGATGGTGGAGGGTTACTGTTGCGTTTGACCCTGGAGTTCATCTGTCGTCCTGCAGGCCGCACTCCGTCTCCAGGTGACTCTCCTGAGCTCCTCTTTCGAACCCGACGGGAACCAGAGGCATTTCCCGAGTAGTCTGAAAACATCACAGGGCTCTGGTTTATACACAACATGTGGTAATGAGTTTTTAGGGCAAGTCCTGCTAAAATTATAGACTTATGGCTGGTTAATGACAGGTTTGACAAACACACAATGTGCAGGATTTGGAAAAAACAAAAAACTAAAATAAGCTTTTTCTAAAGACAAATGTGTTATTCAGGGAAACCTTACCCTTATTCCCTAAAGGGCTCACTGTTTCTTTATGGTCATTTGATATTTTTAGTTAGATGGTGCAATGAGCAAGAAATTATTTGTGTGTAAACAAATAAGTCCTCTTTGCAGTGCTTAGGAGGAACAAAGAAACAGTTATTATTTAGTCAGTTCCCTCCTGAAACTTCCCAACATTAACAGTACTCACTTTTAGTCTCACACAGAAAATGTAGCACTCACTGTTTATAAAAAACTACAAACTAAAGCAACATCATTCCATAGAGCTCAACTATAAAACATGCCAGACTAAGCTATTGTCTTGTAAAAGGGTCAATAGTTTGGAGATTCCCAAGAATTTTTGCATGCTCAGTATATTTTTAAAAAACACGAATATATACTACTTGAAAATGTGTTAATAGGTTAATACGCCTGTAAGCAAACAGCATGCAAAAAATGACGGTAAATACAACAACAAAAAGCCCTTTAACACCAGCTAACCCCCTGTCAAATGTAGCATGTAGCCAACCATGCTATCGTTTATTAAACACTGACCTGCGTCCGACAGCATTAGTTACGCCGGTGCCCTAGTTCAAGCAGGATTTACACTATCTTTGCAATCCTGTGATAAAATGTTTAGTATCTGTGTATCTTTTATTGTTGTGGGCGAAATCAATGCGACGATACGAGCAGAGAACCACTTCCTGTTTAAAGAGGAAATGGGCGTTTCGCGTTTATCGCATTTTGGCCGCCGTCGCTCTCCGTAACGCTACTACTACTGCTACACCTGCGGTCACCATGGCAACGTCAGGACGCCTCTAGGACTTTGACAACAGCGGCAAAAGCAGAGATCCGGCACGAAAAACACAACACAAGACGCTTTTATCGACTTTTAACATTCTTTTTCATCATTTGACATGACTTCCCAGTATGCCAGCAAACTTTACTGATTAGTGTTATAATTTTAAAACAGAGACACTTGGTTTTTAAAGTGATTGTTATTAGAATCTAAAGTGAAATGTAGCGCTGTCACGTTTTCTGGAGGAGAAATTTTACATCAAATAAACTGAAACAAATGGATTCAAGAAAACTACTGCAAAGAAGAAAACCGGAAATTCCCACATTTAAATCAGCAACAACTGACAGAAAACAACTAGAGGTAATATATAATGTGCCTTTTGTTATGATATGTTAAGTTAATTCCTAAATTGTTTTCTAAATGTACTTTATGACGCTAGATTGACTGCTATATTGCCTACACTAAATAAAATATCTTCTTTTAGGACAGTGCTAAAAATATTGAACTTAGCAAGGTGATTCGCCTTCTTGAAGATCCTTTGACAGTAAGTGAAAATCACAGCTTGACTTTCTCGGTTTATTTAAATTAGTATTATAACCAAATTGTGTCTGTTTTAAGGGTAATTTAAAGGAGAGACACCTCTTTGTATTGAAGAAAATACTGAAGAGAAACCCAAATGGCTTTGTATCCTTTTAACATAATTAGCATACAATTTTTTTTTCAAGATACATTTTATTTGGTAAGAAGACAATCTGTTTTTTACAAAGTTGTGTCAATATAATCCAAATATTTCAGTAAAATCTGTATTTCTATTAGAAAAATGCAGTTTTAATATATTGTTTCTACCTTTGTTTAATATGGCATGTGTGACTGCTGTTTATAGTTTGCTTTCTTTTAATTGTCAGCTAGATTGTCACATTTTCCCAATGGGTGTCCCCTGGTACTGTCATGGAAATATATGTGATCTTATGCACCGTGAGCTCAGAGGCAACCACCATCCCCAGGCTCCAATTTAGCCCTGACGCAGCTCTCAGCAGTTTCCCTGTTCAGAAATAACCTCTGCTTTGATGACAACACTTCACATCTCTCTATGGGGTTCACGTATTATGCATTTATAACCAGACCTCAGAAAACCTCCTGAACTATTTTAAGCTCTTGAAGGATCTGAAAGGCTTGGCAAAAGTATTTGACATCTGCGCAGAGAAATCAAAAGAGGATCCAGTCTATTTGCCATTCTTGTGTGAAGCAATTAAATTATGCAGGTTAATTTACATACTGTATTTAATATGCACTTACAATTAAATACATAATATAAATAATTCAAATTCAATCTTCCATAGGCTTTCCTTCCTGAAGGAGAGGGCATCAGATGAACCTAACTATGCCCAAGATGTCATCCATTTTTTGTCACAAATTGGTGAGCTATAAAAAAATATAATAATAATAATAATAATAATAATAATACAAATTAAAAAAATTTGTGAGTTATACATTACTGTACATCACTACTTGACTGTAGAAACACTGTATTAACCGTGTGTTTGTGGAAATACACTATATTATCCAAAAAGCACATAATCTTTAATACTAGTGTACTTAGATTTCTACTTAATAGAAATTGCTCGTACATATGTAAATTGCTTAAAAAACACAAAATTGTTCTTCCTTTTCTGGAAACTAATCAAAGAGTCTGTATTACACTGTTTTCTGATCAATATTATAATATTGTTTACTCATCAAAAACATATCTGGAGTTGCGTTTTGTTTCATTCACACAACACATAAACCCTGCATATTTAGTCTGAGTTCTTTTCTTAAAAAGAAAACACTCTGTTCCACCTTGTGATGTCATGTGGTAATACAGGAATACACCCTAATTATAATCATTTGGATGTTTTTAACTCTGGAATTTCCAGTCTATACTGAAAAAGGTCAAAAGTAGCTGTTAACTTGAAAATTACCGCTTCATGACATCAAAAGGTAGAAAAGACTAATAATAAAGGTTTACATCGGCTATGTTTTTGAGGGGTAAACAATATTCTAACATGTCTAAAAGCTCACAAGAGTCAGTTTAGCATAATATAGGAACTTTAAAACACTTATGTATCTACTTCTAGGTTATCTGATGCGCGTGACTTGTCCAGATGTCAAAGTGAACATCATTGAGTGTGTGAAGTCCTTCTATCAGTGTGTGACTCCCCGGCAGCTCCCCGATGGTACGCAGAGGAGACATGGGAGCACAGCCAGGCCTTTCCACTTTGAGAATCGATTTTCTAAACTGACGCTACGTGAGGCTCTGTGGCTCCTGTGGTGAAGCAGTTGTGGTTTTGTGTTGTTCTGTGATAGTCCTAGAGGTGTTTTTGTGTTGGTGATATTGATAAAATAATTTATGGAGTACTGTTATAGTAGATTTAAGTTGTTTTTGTTTTTGTATTGTTTTTTGACAGACTTATGATACATTGAGACATTAGTGACATTGTAAAAGCTTCATTGTCAGTGTAGGGATTAGTCATATTCAAATAAGGAGTAAGAAGAGCAATGCATTACATACATTTGCTTTAAGGAGGTGCCTTATTTAATTTTTATGTTTTTATTGGTATTTTTTGTAATGTTTTCAGATTCAAGAATTTGATAATGTCTCTTATAATGTCTCTTATCTCCCCAAATATCCTAAAGCAAAATTGCATTATTTTTCTATTAGTGACATGTTTGAATTTAAATGTATTCAACCACACCACACTTTTCTTCCAATCCACTGCTTTCATAATGATGAAAAGTTGAAAGGCAATTAACAATTCAAAATGAAACATTATTTATTTTGAATGGTTCTCAAAATGGCATAATATAAGGAAACTGATACCCATCAATATTATGTACAAGTGATAATAGTAAGTTCCGACATTGACATGTTATTTTTGTCAGGACCCCAGCCCATGTCTCCGGGGTTCAGGCTTCAGCTGCTGGACAAAACTGACTTGTCCCAAACACTGGTTTTGTCTTTGGCATCTGTGGACCATCGACCTGACATCAAACTACAGCTGCTGCAGGTTCTGAAGCTCCTCTCTTGCTCCTCCGGTCAGTATTTAATATTGATAAATTTAACTCAGAAATCATAGAGGGTTGCACTTCTGTATGTTTACTATGCATTTAAAGATGAAATTAGACATAAAGCATTCTAAAACCAGAGGTAAAGAGGACCAAACCAGGACTAAAACTATATAGACGTGTAGAGACTAAACCAGGAGTTGCAGCAGAACTGTACAAACCATGTATAAACAAAGAATAAACCTGGACCAAATAAAGGAAAGTTTGTTTTATAGCACAAGTAAGATCTGGTGGTTAAAAAAAAAAAGGATTGACCTGACATTAGACTCACTACAGCTGCTGTAGGCTCTCAAACTGCTCTCCATCTCCTCCAGTCAATCTTCATTAGAAAGGGATTAAAACTGTATTACTATATTATGAATTTAAGCACTCATGACTCTGGTGTTCCCCAGTTATAACCTTGACTCCACCAGAATCAAACCAGGACTAAAACAGATATAAATGATCTTTAGCTCCAAACTAAACCATAATTTGAAGCAGGAATAAACCAGGACTAAATCAGGTAAGAATAAAACCAAACTAAGAATAGCATGACAATCTATCAAGATGACATATTTCAAAAAGTCAGTGTACAGCCCTGCTTGTTGTTGATTGGTCAAAGTATCTGAAGGGTATAATGTGTTTGACTTAAACAAGCAAAACAGTGATTTAAGTGTCCTTGAGTCAAAGTCAATGGATGTCAATGGGCTTGTCCTTAATCACGTCTTATATGTTTAACAGACTTGAACTGTGGGCAAATACTGAAGGCCCGGGGAGCTGAGAGCATCTGTCTGCACATGAATGAGTCGGAGTCTACCGGGCCAGTCCTGGTTCGCTCCATCGAGATCCTCTGGAACCTTCTGGAGAGTGGAAATAAGCACAGAGCTGTGGCCCAACTCAGCACCATCGAGTGTCTAGTGTATGTATGAAGATGACATGGATTTTTCATGTCCTATACGAGGGTGTCAAAGGAATAAAACAATCACACTAATAAATACTAAAACTTGTATTGAAACTAGATCTGGACCAGAGAGGGATTACAGAGATGTAACTCCACACAGTAATATCGAAGAAAGTACTTTTATTTATTGTTGGAAATGATATTATATTGTCTAAATAAGGAGTGATTTTTATTATTATTGTGGTGTTGAAATCAGTATCAGAATCGGTACTGAGTATTGAGTCCACTCTTTAGTATCAAATTCAAGTTTGAAATCTTAATGTGACAACACTCTCTTATACATTACACTTTAGTCTATAATCTACATGCAAATTTACAGAGGTATCATGTAACTGTGAGTAGAGTCTTTGGGTAATTGTATTTTTAAACCTGTACTTTGTAACTGAGTATAATTCAAGGAAAGTAATTGCTACATTTCGTGAGTACAGTTCAAGGTCCAAGTACAACAGTCTCACCGCAGTGTGTGGTCCTTTATATGCCCATAAACACGCATAACTGTACTATTACTATAATTTAATACATTTTTAGCCTGTGTTTTTAATTGAGAACAAGCTTGCAGTCCTTTGTATATTGAGACCATACCTACAGGGCTATGGCAGGGCTCTCCAACCTTTTTCCACCTTTACAAAACAAAAATGCCAGAGAGCTACTAAGTTTATCCAGGGCAAACCTTAGATGGGGTACAGTGAGATGACTTTGAAACATAAGCCATTATGTTACCTTCTTGGGTTCTTTTTAAAGACAGTACAGTAGGAGATGTACAGTATTTACCTTGTTGTCATGTTTCAGTTGCTAGCTGCACGCCATCTGAAAGCCGTTAACTAGGTAAATACATCTCCTTCTGTACTGTCTTTAAACAGAACCCAAGAAGTTAATGTGCAAAAGAAGACAAAATGAATGTCTTTGGACAAACCATTATCAACGTATTAGTGCCAGTTATGCATCAAACAATACATTTACAGTGTTAAAAGGCATTTCATTCATCAAATTCAGCACTTGGAAGAGGATGGAGAGCCACTAGTAGCTCCTGTTGGAGACCTCTGGGCTATGGGGTTGTTGTAATACCATAACATATGTACTTTTAGTATATATATTTGTTTTTGGGTTTTTTTCAGATCTCTGAAAGAGGCTTTTCTACACCAGCTGTTGACAGCGGTTCACCATTCAGAGCTGAGCCTCAGAAACGACCTGCTCGTCCTCACAACACTAATCGCTGAAAACAGCAACACTTTGCTCATTGTAAGTTCACATTTACTGGAATCTAAAAGTAATTTTAAAACTACTCATATGTCTTTTTTTTCAGGAGAGTCTCTTCGCTAAACTGCTCATATCATTGTCCACATACCCAGAATGTAAGGTACCATTCAATGTTAATAATATGCTTTGATATATTTCTTTGTCCACTTAACTGCTCTTTTTTATATATTTTAGTAAGACCCACCAATCCTTTGTTCATCAATTTAAAGCTGAACTACTGTCATGAAGACTTGAAAATGAAAAAGATGCTTCTAAATCTATTGTCCTTGATGTCTGTTGATACGACTGTTTTGCAGGTACATTATAATACCCTAACACTAACATTTATAACATTTCTGGTGGAGGGTCTGTCATCTGCTTGTCTCCATGAAGATGTCACTGTTTTGCCTGGTGTTTTACACAGTATGGCAGTAATCATTATCTATCTACATGGACACTAGTTACAAGTCAAATCTGTCGAGAGGCAAGCCTTCTCCCAAGACATTTTAAGGAATAAAAACACCTGTAATTGATCCCATGTTTGGTGGATCAGTTTAATGCCATACTGTGACACATTCTTGGCAAAGCAATAACCTCACCCTGGAAACAACCACGTGGTGGACCTCCCACCAGAAAAGGTGCATAATGCACCTCTAAATTATTGTTGATGTCATAATCCCAGAAGAGCAAGCGCTAGTTTACAATTTTCAAAAGAAAATCTAAAATAAATTCACAAATTTTGAGCCTAATAATTTCTCAAGTGAACTTTCTATGTTACAGCAAAAAGTTTCTCGCCATCTGTGTTAAATAAGACCTGTAGAATGTTGTGATGACCTGACCTGAAAACCTCTCTCTACATTTTTGCATTGCTCTTTTCTTGAAGCTTTACAAAGAGGAAAACGTGCTCCTGTCTCTCCTGCTCCTCACTAAACCTCTGCCCGTCTCTCCCCGGATTCACTCTGCATCTCGAAGCTGGTCCTCAGTCCAGTCTCACGAGCTGTGTCTGAAGGCTCTGGAGACTCTGTGTTCTATCGCCCCCTACCTGCTGGACGAGTACATGTCCTATCACGGCAACGCCTTTGTGCTGAGGCTCATGGACTGGTGCACTCATGATGGTCAGACAGCACAGGGGGGAGTCAAAATGCAATACATGTGGGACAATACTATTTGCACCTTAATGTTATGTGTTATAAAAGCAGTTTCAGTCAATAGAACCTGGTCTACACATCTTAAGAGAAGACAGGAGAGTGGATTTGTATTTCACTTTTGGATAGAAAAAGCAGTTTTGTAGTCTCTTGATAAATCCTTATTGTTGGGACTGAAGACACGTTTCACACAAGAATAAGACAAGATTAAATTTTTACATAATATATAATGAATCAATTACTTGTTAAATGTGTTAACTCTTTTTTGTCCAAAATTATCAATATGTTTGCTATTTTAACTTTGAAGATTTTGTGGTATGTGATCTTATGTGTATGTGAAGTGTCATAGCTGTATTTCTCTCTATTTCAGATGAAGTCCCTGATACGATCCGAGGCTCTACTGGTCTCATAGGAGACTGCAGAAAGACCCTGCTGCACTTTTGTATCAGGCTCCTCACTGCAGTCACTTCACAGGGAGAGGAGACTGTCAACCAGGACCTGTGTGACCAGGGCTCCATCGGTGACCTGCTGGGTATCTCATCACATCCTTTACACTGCACCAAACCTAGACTATAACTATAGTTAGTACTCAAACCACATTATTCCAATCTCCCACACACACATTCAGCCCATCACTCTCTTGTCTCATGAAAATGTTACTGCTTTTCCTGGAATGTTCCTTGGTCAGTGTTGGACAGTAACTGTAACTAATTACAATTGAAAATTAGATCCGTGTCATGACTCCTGAAACAGTAAAAAGACAAACAGGAGCACAGGATCTTCTGACGTCAGAGGCAGATCAGCTGTGAACCAAAACACAAATATTGGTTTAAGGAGAACTTTAGTTAGTTCCTGAGCGGTATGATTAAGTTTTTTTTCAAAGTAACATAGTAATCAGTAATCAGATTACTTTGGCAAAGTAATATGACCAACACTGTCTACAGTGCGGTATAATCTTATGTTTTGCGCCGTCAAATGACAAAAATGACAAAAATACTTGGTTTGCTGAAATTGCATGTTCGTCTCCATGGAGATTTATAAGTTTTATGCTATACGGTGGAACATTCCAGGCAAAGCAGCAACTTCTCAATTTGTATTCAGTTTGTTCTAATTACCAAAAATGGATAGACACTATTTGAAATGAGCTTCCATTTTTGTATTCTTAAAGTGCTGGGTAATGTGCCCTCTCTCCCAGGTGTGTTGATGCAGATGGAGGCAAGCTCTGATGAGGACGACGCAGTTTCTTTGGAGATAAAATCCAACATTCAGTTCATCCTCTCTACTCTGTGTGAGAGCGACATGCACAGGAAGGTACAGTATTTTCACTGGTCATAAAGTTATACTTCTTGAGCGTATTATTTTGGTTAGGGTTTGGTTAGGTTCAGTAATAGAATAAATACTCTGTTTTGTTACTTAAGTAAAAGCTTAATTACTTCATTACATTCCATCACTGATTATTTGCCATTTATAGTTAAAAACCACATTGGAAAAAAGCGCATGAGACATATGAGACATTAAAAACATAGTTTCAACATCTTGTATTGTTTAACACATTCCTGCAACACTTACAGGAGCTGTTTGGGTCTGAAGGAGTTGAAATGGTCATTCACTTCCTGAAGAAAGGCTGTGATCTGTTTTACAGCGGTTTAGGGCACAACAAACTCCTCCTCTCCACTGTCGACTGTGTTTGGTCAGTATAGCACCTTAAAGTTTCTCTTGATGTTCACTTGATGTTCACTTGATGTTCACTTTTTACCTATTTTCATTTTCAAACATTTAATGGTATCATTATTTATACTTTGTCCTGCCATAGGTCTTGCATTGTTGGCTGCTACACAACTGAAGATTTCTTTCTGGCCAAAGAGGGAGTCTGTTTACTGCTTGATCTGCTATGTGTATGTTATTCTTTTCACGTTTACTCACTCACTTGTTATTGCTTTTCCTATAATGTTCCACAATATGGCATTAAACTTACATATGCCCATGGAAACAAGCAGGTGATGCCACCATATCTAGTTACAGGTCAGAACAATGGAGAGGCAAGGCTGCTCACAATAAGACTGCATCTTTTTTAATGTGCTTTTGAGCAATAAACACCTACAGTGAAATAAACGCGAAATTGATACGTTACGTGTAATGCCAAACTGTGGATTATTTCAGACAAAGCAATAACATATCCATGGAGTCAAACAGGTGGTGAACTCCCATTCAGAAAAGCTACACATCTTTAAAAAGTATGACATAGAATAAACGTGTCTGTTGTAAAATATATAAATAATATGTTTTTTTTCTTTTTTTTTCTTTTTATTTCTTTCAGTCGAGTCCCAAATGTGTCCACAGCCTGATTTTGTCCACCCTTCTGGAGTTATGTGAAAACCCAAACACAGGGTCCCATCTGAGGAGCTGGACAGATCGAGCCGGACAAACAGCCCCAAGAGTTCTTCTGCAGATGTGGAGGGACGAGGAGGCTGAGCTCGGGGTGCAAAGAAACCAGGAGGGGTGCATCACAGGTAAGTGTGTGATGCTAACTGTTGGCTCTGCTCTGTCTGAGGCTTTATTAGCCTTTATTCTGGGCTTTATTTTTACACAATCTGACCATAAAGAACAGACTAAGGTGGAACTAGCTGATTTGTGCTGTTAAACAAATCTCTCATACATAAAATTTGTTTTTCAGTTACTCACACTCACTATTTTAGCTGAAAATCAAACTCAGGACCGTGAACATTTGTCTGATCACAGGCTTCTGAAAATGTTTGAAACTGTGTCACTTTTAGACATTATAATTAAAACACACACACAAACACACTCATTTTATATTTTAGTTTATACTTTTAGATTTGTATATTTTTATTTTGTGATTTTTTTTTTAAATAATTCCATGAGCCAGACAAATTGGAGAGTTGTAATCCTTTTGTAATTAATTAATTTATTTATTTATTAATTTTTCTCGCTAAGCAGATCCCAAAAAGCCACTTTATCATAAGCAGCAGGAGGAAACACAAAGCCTGTGCCTCGATGGATCATCCAGTGCTTCAATTCTGGAGATAGGGGAGAATCTGAGGGCAAAAATTTACCTGATCTTCTGTGCAGTCGGTAAAGTCATTCACAGAACGGCTCTCCTTTTTATGTCTACAGAAATATAGCTTTTAAAGTACATATTTTATTCTCCTTATTGTTTAAAAGCAGTGAATGTTTATAATTGTAATAGATGTTATTTTCAGGATTTCACGACCTTCCTGGGTTATCAACTGAGGACTATGTGACATTGAGAATTGTTAAGAGATATCTGGATTTTAAGGTACGTGCATTTTAGTAATTTTTGAAATCCACAGCCAGATTTATACTGTTAAGACTAACACACACGTTTAATATAAGACTATGGTGGCACAGGAAATTAAAATGTCAGTAATTTAATTTTATTGTCTACGTGTTCTGGAGTAAATATCTCTCGGTAGGGATGTAAGGATATAAAAAATCTTACGATACGATATTTTCAAGGTATACATCTCACGATACGATATTTACTGCATTATTTTGTGAAGGCTAACAAAATATGCTACTTCTTTAAAAAAAACATTGATACTGTTATAATGGTACTGTTGTAATATGAAGAATTAAGATTTTAAAGTGTTATTAATGTTAAGTCTCCACTGACAACACCAAAGGACCAATGGTCTATCTATGTAGTTCCCTCTGTTTTTGTTTGTTTGTTTGTTTGTTTTTTTAGCTATTGCTGCACCATAACAATGAATTTAAGTAAATAAACTTGTAGTTTGATACATTGTGACAGTTCACCATATTATTGTGAGACTTTTGATGATACAATATCATGATATTTCGGTTATTGTTACATCCCAATTAATCTGCCCAGACACTTAAACCATGTCGCCCCAGTGTCTGTGTACACTGGTGTATTAATGTGTGTGTAAATGGGTGAGTGGTTTCTTGATGTAAAGTGCTTTGAGTGCCTTGAAGGTGGAAAGAAAATGTGACATACAGTATATATGATAATGAAACAGACAAACTTTTATTTCTTAGCTTGTTTTAGACTATTGGGAGCCACCATAGTCCCCTGTATTAATGGGAAACCCTGGTACAGATATTTGTGTGTTTTTGTTGCAGGTTGGAGAGGTGTGGGACGAGGTCAGTGCAGAGCTGACTCATGTGGACATCAGACCCATAACTCCAGACAGAGAGAATTTAGAAACTATTTGTCAGATATCAGAGGACAAGGCCAAAAGAGTCATGGAGGAGCAGAGCAGCCTTCTACAGAGACAAGAGAAGGAAAATCTGACCCAGGAGCAGCTCATGTACACCGAGGTGAGGGGACACATGTTTAAAACACAAACCCTGCATATTTAGGCTGAGCTCTTCTCTCAAACAGAAAACACCCTGTTCCACATTGTGATGTCATGTGGTAATGCAGGAAGTGCTCCACTGTGTTTTTAAACTGTATACACCTTCACTAGAATCATTTCAGGCTTAGAATTGCCAGTCTCTACTTAATAAAAGGTGAAAGGAGCTGTTAACTTGAAAATTACAACTTGTTGACGTCACAAGGTGGAACAGAGCATTTTGAGCTTTGAAGATGTAGACAGACTAATAATAAAGTATTACTCAAACATGTGTGAATGAAACAAAACACAAATGCAGGTATATTTTTGACGGGGTAACAACATTATAACATGGGGGTCTATTCCATGTATATATTCTGTCTGGTATGTTCCACTGTATGGCAATATTTCATGTAATAACATATCCATGGAGACGAACAGTTACACAGTGCGCCCTTAAAATGTAGTATAGCGTGTATTTAAACCTTAAATTTTGTACTGACTGACACTGGATTTTTTGACAGATCAAATCTCACAGGAAACAACAAGAACTTGTCCAAAAATCTTGGAACGATTATGTTTCCAAGACGTCCAACTATGAGGTTCTCAAGGTAAATCAACAGAGTTTTGGACATATAAAGCTTCCACATCTTGTGACTGTGGGTTGTCATAAATATTCAAAAGAAATACTAATATCAACTGTTACATGATTACTTTAAATCAATGGATAACTCAGTATTTTCTTAAATAGGAGGTGAAAGCTCAGAGAGAGTTATCCAGAGCTAAGGTGAAGACTGAAGAGGACGGAATTCACCCTGTAAAGGTATTTTCAGTCATGTTTAGGCGTAGTTATATTGAAAATGTGTGTCACGATTATCATGTCCAAAAGTACTTGTATAAAAATGAAAATAAAGGGAAATAAATATACTTTAATAATTCTACCAGTCATGAAGTTGAGCTTAAGATCTCCTGCAAATATTATAGTATCGTTATGAGGTAAAACAAGAATGATCTATAAGGACATCATGGATAATTAGCTTTTATATTGTATGACATTAAACAGCTCAACCTTACATTTATTCAAATGCTTTCTTCAGTAGATTTCACTTTATATTTAGCTTTCAGCATACAATGTGTAGAGATATCTTTACGGACTTTACAATACTAATAATAACTTTGTTTGTTTTTCTGGAGCACTTCATAGGCCAGGTGGTGTCCATGGAGACGACAGGAGCAGAGGGACCAGAGGGGGTCCAAGTCTCTTTAGCCCAAGTCGCTATCAAGCCCAAAGGTCCAGACCCGGTCCAGACCAGCCCAAACCCAGACCCGGAGTACTTCAGACCTGTCTCTGTTAAACACTGAATCGAATACACACATAAGATTAGGACAATATGGGATGGTGGACATTTTGATAGCACATTTGAGGAGAAGAGACACTGTGGTTTTGAATGGACAGAGATCAGGACGTGGACACAATCAAAGCCTTGTTGTCTGGAGACCACAGAACAAACTGAGGAGTCTTTATAACTCAACACGTGCGATGCAGCTAAATAGAAATGAACCGTCGACACAGAATAACATTATATTCTATTAAATTACACTGAACTGACTCTTAAACGGCACATAAAGTCATGTTATAATGTTGTTAACTCACTAAAAAAACATACCCGGAGTTGAGTTTTGTTTCATTCGCATATGTTTAAGTAATCCTCAAAATGCTCAGTTCCACCTTGTGATGTCATAAAGTGATAGTTTTCAAGTTAGCAGCTCCTTTTCCCTTTCGTTCAGTAGAGATTGACAATTCAGGGCTGACATTGTCCATTTTCTGTTTTTAGAGAAGAACTAAGCTGAAATATATAGAGTTTGTGTGTTCAAGTGTATGAATGAAACGACAATAAACTCCAGGTTTTAATGAGGAAACAACATTAGAACATACATCAGGGGTCCCCAACCTGGCTGTGGGTCGTTTGGTACCGGGCCGCGAAAGTGCAAACCCCCCCTCCTATACGCCATGTGGACCGTACGACAGTCCCCCTTCCCTACACCGTGTCGACTGTCCCCCCTCCCTTACTTCCCCTTGGACCGTCCCCCCTCCCGTAGGCCGCGCGGACCGTCCCCCCCTCTTACGTGGACCGCCCCCTTTCCCGTATGTCATGCAGACCATCCCCCCTCTCGTATGCTGCCCGGGCTGCGCCACTAAACCAGAACGAAACCAGGTCTAAACCAGGACTAAACCAGGTCTAAAACAGGTCTAAAAACAGGTGTAAAACAGGTCTAAAACCAGGACTAAAACAGGACTAAAATAGGATTTAGCCAGGATGGACGCCGGATTGCTCACTGCGCCTCCTCCAATATGAAGTCCCCTCACCCCCCAGTCCATCTGGTCCACGAAATATTGTCTGATATAAAACCAGTCTGTGGCGCGAAAAAATTTGGGGACTACTGACATAGATCATAAAATAGCCTATTATGGCCCTTTAAGATCTATATAAACATGCACATAGTAATGAACACATACTGTATGCTATTTGCTAAGACTGCCGTCCATAGTTACCCAAGGGTTGTCAATATGCAAAAAGTTCCATAAACCAGACAAGAGCATTTACTCGAAAATATTGCTTTAAAAGAAACATTGACATAATATTTAGAAATGTAATGTACACATCTGATTCAATTTCTGATGGATGGTTAACATTGTGGCTTAAGTGTATTTTGTATTCTTCATTTTTTGGCTAATAAATCTTTCTTTAGCCCAACATATCACAAGTTGAGGATACTGTTTGTACTGGCTTAAAGATGCACTGCGCAACTTTTCTGGTGGAGAATCCATCTCCTGCCTTCTCCATGGAAATGTTCAGTATAGATTAAACCAATCTGCCTGAAGGGAGACAACTACAGGCCGCATTACAGGTCAGAATTGTGGAGATGCAAGGCTATTCACATAGAGAATTGTTGTATTTTTGAGCAATAGAAACACTCTTAATGAATAAATGCTAGATAGATGTGGTTAATGAAACACCATGAGACATTCCAGGGAAAGTAATAACATCTCCATGGAGACAAGAAGGTGACGGACGGACCTCCCCAACAGAAAAGTTGCGCAATGCACCTTTAACACATGCTGAAATACCGATTATTTGAGTAGAAATGGGCTAAAATCACAACAAAAACTATCGGCAATCAGTTGATTAGTTCCAGTGAATTGATGGTCACATTGTACTTTTCCATGAAATATTCAAAAGGTGAATTCACAAATGCTGAAACTGATAATTTCTATAAGCGACTAGACTCAAAAACTCATATATTACAACATATTTTTGCATTTTAACAATATTAATTTTACTGTATTATTAGCTGTATTATTAAACCCAGCAATACATTTAGAATCCATTAAGGGGGAGCAGCCAGAATTGACAAAAAAAAAACTAAAACTAAAACTAACCATTCAAAAACTGTTTATAAATGTTTGTGGTCTCAGATTTAAAACAAAAACAAACAAAAAAGTGGATGTCATCTCTCTTTCATGCTCTGTTTATGTAACCTCAAGCTGAAACGTGCCCTCACAGACAAAGGACTGGCTTATGTAACCATAAAATGACACTCTTTGAAAGTCATTACTATAAAAACTTTATTATTTAGTCCAAGTCAGATATACAGAACAAATCTTATCTATTGTAAATGTTGTGGAAATATATATTTGAGGGTTTAAACTGTGTCCAGAAAGTATTTAGTCATTTTTGTCTTATATAAGTGACTGCAGTGAATTAACACAGTTGTGAATTGAAGCGTGTGCCACCTTCACTCCTCCCTCTTCTCCGCCCCTCCTCTCCTTTACTCCCTCCTCTCTTATCCTCCGCCCCTCCTCTGCTTTCTGCTGTCCCCTGGTCCACTTCTTCCTCCACCCTTCTCTTGTTCTCCTCTCCTCACTCTCTCCCTCTCATTCTCTTCTTGACCATTCAAACTCTCCTCCTTTCCTCCCATCTGCATATCCTCCATTCTCTCCATCTATTCTCCTTCTTCCGCCTCTTCTCTTGCTCTCTCTGTCTCTCTCATCCCTCCTCTCTCCATCCCTCTCTTCTCTTTCTCTTCTCTCTCACACATCTGCCCTCTCTCTATCCCTCTCTCCTCGTGCTCTCTCTGTCACACATCCTTCCTCTTTTCATCCCTCTCTTCTCTTGCTTTCATGTCTTATCTCTCTCCTCCACCCCTCCTCGATCCCTTTCTCCATCAGTGTATCCCTCCGTCCTCCCTCGTTCTTCCCTGCCCTTCCCATTCACTGTTCACTCTGTTGCATTTTGAGAAGATCATCAGGTCCAGTGTCTCACTCTCTCTCATCTCTCCTCCCTCCATACCCCTCCTCTCTACCCCTTCCTTCACCTCCATCCTCCTCTCTCCCCCTCTCCCTTCTCCCTGTCTCCCCTCTCCTCTCTCCCACTCTCCCTCTCCCATTTAGTGTTCACTCTGACAGATCTAGACTCTCTCTCTTTTTCTCCCCCTCCCTCTCTCTGTCTCTCCCATCTCCCCTCTTTCCATCCATCCCCATCCTTCCTTCTCTTTCTCTCTCTCTTCTCTCTCTCTCTCTCTCTCGGTCTCTCTCTCTCTCTCCTCCCTCCATCCCTCTCCTTTCTCCCCTCTCCCTCCGCTCTCTCTCCCCTCTTTCCCACTCCCTCTCTCCCGTTCGGTGTTCCCTGTGTAGTGTTTTGAGCAGATCGTCTGTGACAGGTCCAGTGTCTCTCTCTGTTTGTGCATCGGGACGTTCAGAGCAGATCTGTGAATGGGACGGGGCGCTGGCACTGGACACTCTTCATTCATTTAACAAAAAATTTATTCATTTATCACTCTGGATTTGGCTCGATAGAAATGAGCGATCTGTGAAGGTAAGTTGAACTAAAGGTTTTTGACAACTTTATAACACCTTATCCAGTTGCTTATGTTGTATCTTAAATTACTTATTTATTTCTGGCAAAGTAGCTTGTTTTGGATGGCCAGCTTAATTTAAAGTCATAGTTTTGGTCTAAAGTTTATTTAATTCATTAATAAAGCAAAACAGTTTTTATCACAACAGATCTGTAACACTATGGAAACAGTTGTGTGGTTCAGATTCAGAAATGAATCCAGGTTTTTCAGTTTCAATACAGATACTTTAGCTTTAATTATTTATCGAAACCTAATACCAACCTATAGCAGTTCAGATACATATCATTTATTTCCTTTAAACACAAAGACCATAAGGTAAAAATGATCCAAATGTGTTTTGTAACTCTTACTTATAATTTAAAGTAACTGGAGAACATCTTTGTAAAAAATCAAGTGTAATATTGTAAGACATTTGGGGCCAATATTAACCATCTTACACCACTTTATAGACCAAAATGGAATGGTGGCTGAATTGATATGTAAAAGTATTTATTTTTTACATATATTTGGTTTGGGAGAGTTACTCAAATTTGTCACTAATTATTTTCACTCAACATTATTAACCGGAAGTTTTATAAATATGGGTTCATTCATTCTAAATAAATAAACAAAGCAGGACTTGGAAAATTTACATGTTAAATAAAATTGAGCTTAAATAATTAACCATTCCTCATTTTTTTGTACACTTATAGTCTCTGGAAATGTTAATAAATGTTATTTTTTACTAATGTTCTCCAAGTTAAAACTGCAGAAATGATCATCAGACTTGGGCGACTCACTCCAGGATATTTTCGCCTTCTTCAGGTTTGTGAAACTTTCCTCTTTTACCACAGTGACAAATGTATTAAACACCTCATTCACCGTCTTTTCTTAGCCAAAATATTTTACATTTTGACTTAAACTGATGTCAGGTTTCCGTTTTGAGCTCACAGAAATGCTTTTAGACCAAATGAATGAATATTTTATGTCTTATATAACGAGGTCAGACTCCTCCTCTCGCTGCTGACGTCTTCACCTCAGAGCAACAACGATGTGTCCTCAGTAACCTCCGTGACCGGGGCTTTTGTGCAGTGACTTTTTTTTTTTTTTTTTTTTTTTAATGTGCATTGTGGAACATTTCTGGTCCATCAAATGCCAAACCAGGCCAAGTTACAGGTTAGATCTGTGGAGAGGAAACCCGCTCACAGTCAGAATACCTGTTTTTCTAGGTATTTTTGAGCTTTAAAACCACCTGTAATTGAATAAATGTAAGGTAGAGCTGTTTAATGTCATACTGTGGAATATTCCAGACAGACCAATGGCATCTCCATACTGCACTTTTAATGTACAAAAACAAGAACAAAAATAAAAGAATAAATAAATAAAAACTCAATGTCCAGTGTATTGAGAATCTTGACACTGATAAAAAAAAAGCCATTACAATTTAGCAAGTTATGTTATAGTTCTATTTAACACACTTCGGTCAGAAATCTAATTAGAGACCCATATTAAACTTTTACTCTATTCTCTGATCTGTGTTATAATCTTGTTTCAGCTACCACTACATGACATCACAAGGAGAAACAGAGCATTTTGAGCTTTGGAGATGTAAACAGACTTATGTTTTACTCAAATATAGACCAGATATGTTTTGATGAGGTAACATTATAACTTGGCTTAAAGCTCACATGAGTCAATTTTGTTTAAGTTCGATTGGATATAGCAATAAGGTAAAGTGTACTGGCTTCCTTTATACTTGTGATGTTTGCCTGAATTTTATTATTTTATTGCTGCAAATCATGACGGTAATGATGGTAACCTTTACACAATGGCTAATGTACTATTAATGATATGTGTCACTATAAAAGTCCACTAATACAAAACAAACTACAAAACAATATGTCTGTGTAATCTGTCCCTCATCCATGTAATTTCCATTACTAAAGAAAATTTTTATTATTTCAAATGGACAAAGGTATGAAATGAAAACATTTCACTTATTGACTTCTTCAGTACAAAAAAATAATAATTTCTGCTTTTTGACATCTTGTACTTTATGATAGTGTTTCCCAAACTTTTTTTTTCTGGGGACCCATATTTTAAAAGTCACAAACCTTTGCAACCCATATCAACAGACATTATTCATAAATCACAAAATAAAGATGGATTTTACCATTATTGAACATTAATGAGGATTTTTTTTTTTTTTTTTTGTGATCGTGTCTCTCTGAACAATTAGTATTACTCAAGTTTTAAACAATAAAAAAACAGTAACTGAAGCAGCAATAAAATGATCCATAAGTCGCCTATTTGGACATTAAATGTAGCCCATTTCTTTTTCTTTTCAACATTCAATTGAACCAGCAATATTGGAACAAAATAGTCAATAAAATAATTACAAAAAGATAAGAAATTATACAAAACATAACTTAACATTTCAACATGTGTCAGAACTGTATATTACAGACCCACATGCCGATTCTGACAAGGCAACCCAAAGAAAATCTCTTGGGACCCACCTGAGGGTCATGACCCAGTCTTTGGGAAACAATGCTTTCCTTTAAAAAGGACCTGAATAGTGATGTTAATTTTTCTGTCTATCCTCAGAGGCAGGTCTCGGGGGAGGTTCGGCTCCAGCCCCAGCCCGGACTCCTGGACCCCATCGCCATGACGATGGCTGCAGTGGGCTTGGGGGTC